TGTGTACCCTTGTGTATCAACAGATCTTAACAAAATATGTTCCAGTAAACATGGCAGAATTTGTTTGTTAAATAGCAAGTATCATCCATACCCATTTCAAAGGAACAATATTAACATAATGGACCCACCCAGGGTCTACATTGAAACCATATAGAGCACTTTTGGAACCATAGTTAAGGATTCATTTAGAAGATCAAACCATATTCTTCCAGTCTTCATGAAATGACCACACTTTTAAAGCAGTAATGAAGCCAAAACGTGCAATATCTGAATGCCAAGAGCAGAGCTACAACATTAGGACCACTACTCTTTTATATTTTTGGCTGGATAATCTAGAGATTCAATGAAAGTATTGATCAAAGTTGCCTATCCTTTACAAATCAGTTTGTAAAAATATTTAATATTCAAATAGAACTGTTTTCAACTGAAAAAAATATAGAATTAAAAACACAGAGGTACTTATGCTGATTTACCAAAAATGTATACATTTATAAAAAGTGCTATTTTCAGATTAATAGTTCAAAGTTTTTGTGTTATTACACTTTTCAACAGAAATAGCAAAAACATAAATTCTGTACAGTGGTCAGGAAAACCTGACGGCATTATTTGTTACATTTTTATCTGTAATTACTAGGGATGCATGAGTAGTAAAATTTGGCCAAATACCAGGTCCGGGTACCTGGTCATGAAGCTTCAGCCAGGGCTGGGTGTCAACCGAGTTCTCCCCTGCTGCCCCCCCAAAAAAATACACAAAAATTAGAAACAAAAACAAAATTGACGTTTAACACATTTAACCGAATAATCACCAACAGTACATTCAAGTTTTACTTTCAACTTTCAATGCCTAGCCCCAACTTCTCAAACCCTAACCCCTATTGTTCTCAAAACCCCCACCTTCCCCATTAATCCACTTCTCATGCCATGCCTGTTATTAAGCTCTATTTTTCTCTGAATCCCCAACTTTCAGTGGGCAGTCAGTCTTTGTTGCTCAGAACATGTTTTTTAAACTAAACCAGTTATTGACTTTAACTTTCAGTACCGTATTAGTTGCTACAAAGATTAGGGCTTAGATGCCTAACTTCGACAATCGGCCAGAGCCGAGTATTACCGAGTACCCATACATCCATGGTAATTATCCTGAAGAACAGTTAGTGAAAGGAAAGATTGACACAAGTATTTTCAGTACTATTTGTGGTAAATAAAATTCCCCAGTTATTACACTGTTATAGTAAAATTAAATATAAACCAGTCTCAAGGAGAATCTAATATAGTAATAACCCTTTACACGTTTTTATATGACTTCTTCATTGAAGTAAATATCAAGATAAGATCAAACAAGAGTGACAGAAAATCAAAAATATGATAAATGGGTCCAATTCAAGTATTTCAGAAACACTGGAAGACTTTTGTGTATAAGTCTGATTTCAAGATTGTTCAAAGAAGTGGCAAAATATAGTTGCATTCTAGTTGACACACAAACACTTGTACATTCCTTTAGTGTTATTCATAGCACTGACCATGTTAACTATGTTATTAGTGGCCATATTGAATACATTACCAATGGCAGACCAATCCTTGAAATCATATTAGGATTTAAAATGACAGGGTTTCTTACTTCAGATTATTATCAATAGATGTCCAACAGTTGGAAATTTGATGTTAATAAAATAATAATTCTTTCTTAAGTTCCTAGGAATACACATAGCTGTCCAAGTTTTTAAAATAGGTGACAAGTCATAAAATAATAAGTGAGTTTTAAGTTGCTAACTCTCCATGTTTTAGAAAGCATGTTTTGGTACTTCAAATAATAAACTTTATGTTTTCTGGTAATAACTGTGCTGATAATTTTAAATTGTTTTTACATGTCTGGTATTCCATGTCCCCTCAACTGGTGACTTGCAATTATAATGGTGTTAGCTTTATTAAATATATGTTCAATCACATAACGAGAATTTACAAATGATTAATCGATCCAACATAAAGCTTTGTACGCCATGTGACATAATTTTTATACAGGTATTTTGTTTTCCCTTTTTTATTTCCAAATTGCATGTAAAATTGAATCTAATTTCAGTTGCTGAATAAAATTTAGTAATTAATTTTTTTACGCTACTACAAACCTGAAATATTAGTTGTCATAAAACATTAGTACTAGGCCTATTATATTTTTAAACACTACATTGTGTTTACAAATATAATAGGCCTAACACTAATGTCTTATGACAACAATAATCATGCTTTACCAGCTTGTAAAAAGCATTCACACCACCAATCTTAAACTTTCTGATTTTCCTACATAAGAAAGAATAAGAACAATTTTATATCTAGCCACATTTTACAGTATTTATTTATTTATATATTGTTGCGTCATCGAGGTCACGTGACTGGTGTGGCGCCCTCTAGTTTCTAGAACTAT